TGTTGTGTTTCCTCGCAGGCCAAGGGACACAACTTACCATCCCGGTCCACGGAGGTCAACACGACATAATCAAGTCCCCATTCGGCAATTGCTTCTGCGGTGTTAGTCGGCTCCTCGGGGTCCAACGGAGGAGGACTTCTCGACGTCTTTACGGAGCAGAAGCGACAGCCTCTCGTACAGGTGTCCCCCATTAACTAATTTTTTTAAAAAAGAGAGCGAGGTTTTGGGTTTTTTTCCTTCCGAAAAACGTTTTTCAAACGATCTGAGCCGCCTGCGTCTCAAACTGCAGTCAACGAAATACGTCCGCACCAGATGGCATCAAGAGCAGAGATATTAGATCTCTGATTTCAACAATGGGAATGAAGCAAAGACAAGGGAGATCCCAAAGGGGCTTAACAACTGTGGCTGTGAAATGGACAAAATTCACTGAACAGACAAAATTCGCTTAAGAACTGTATCTGAGGGGCTACCATAAGACAGAGGGGGCCAGGTTGTTCACCAGAGCACCAGAGGGAAGGATGAGAAACAATGGTTGGAAACTGATCAAGGAGAGAAGCAACCTGGAATTAAGGAGAAACTTCCTGACAGTGAGGACAATCAACCAGTGGAACAGCTTGCCACCAGAAATCGTGGGCACTCCATCATTGGAGGTTTTCAAGAAGAGGCTGGACAATCACCTGTCTGAGATGGTATATAGGTCCTCCTGCTTGAGCAGAGGGCTGGACTAGAAGACCTCCAAGGTCCCTTCCAACTCTATTCTATTCTATTCCTATTCTATTCTTCTCTTTCTATCTTCTATTCCTATTCCTATTCCATTCTATTCTTCTATTTCTATCTTCTATTCCTATTCTATTCTATTCTTCTATTTCTACCTTCTATCTTCTATTCCTATCTTCCTATTCTATTCTTCTGTTTCTATCTTCTATTCCTATTTTTCTATTCTATTCTATTCTATTCTCTATTCTATTCTTCTATTTCTATCTTCTATTCCTATTCCTATTCCATTCTTCTATTTCTATCTTCTATTCCTATTCTATTCTATTCTTCTATTTCTACCTTCTATCTTCTATTCCTATCTTCCTATTCTATTCTATTCTTCTGTTTCTATCTTCTATTCCTATTTTTCTATTCTATTCTATTCTCTATTCTATTCTTCTATTTCTATCTTCTATTCCTATTCCATTCCATTCTTCTATTTCTATCTTCTATTCCTATTCTATTCTTCTATTTCTATCTTCTATTCCTATTCTATTCTATTCTTCTATTTCTATCTTCTATTACTATTCCATTCCATTCTATTATTCTATTTCTATCTTCTATTCCTATTCCATTCCATTCCATTCTTCTATTTCTATCTTCTATTCCTATTCCATTATTCTATTCTTCTATTTCTTTCTATTCCTATTCTATTCTTCTATTCCTATCTTCCTATTCTATTCTATTCTCTATTCTATTCTATTTCTATTCTATTCTTCTATTTCTATCTTCTATTCCTATTCCATTCCATTCTTCTATTTCTATCTTCTATTCCTATTCTATTCTATTCTATTCTATTCTTCTATTTCTATCTTCTATTCCTATCTTCCTATTCTATTCTATTCTATTCTATTCTATTCTATTCTATTCTATTCTATTCTATTCTAAACTGTGTCGCTTATTAAGCAGGAAACGTACAGGGTTCCCTGCCTGAGCAAGGGGTCGGACTAGAAGACCTTCAGAGTCCCTTCTCACTCCATTATTTTTATATAGAAATGTTGGACTCAATATAGCTGCACACCGAGGACGCTAGACAAGACCTGGAACACGTGGACGTCCTGTTCTGAAAGGATCTTCAGAGGCCGGGGATGAACTTACCATGATGGTGGCTGTCGCAGTCGCATATTCTCCTCCTCCCCAGCATTCCCCAATGTTGGGACACCTGGCCTCCTCACACACCTATCATTAAGGACACCAGGATTAGCAGGAGCTAAGGAGCATTGTTTCTTCAGAAAAGTTAACCTTCTAGTTCTCGGTATTTCTCCCACGCAGCTATATGAGCTTTCTCTCCCCTATGTCTGGGTTCTCTAGATGGGCCATGAAACGTCGGCAAGAAAACCACCAAGCTCAGAGAAGACCAAGGGGCAAACAGTCCTTTCCTCCTCCTCCTCCTCCTCCTCCTCCTCCTCCTCCTCTCCACAAATTCCATTCCCCTCTGGCACTGATGATGTTACCTAGTCAGGTAATGAAACGTCTGCAAGAAAACCACCCAGCTCAGAGAGCATACCGTATGTAGGTTTAAGCTGCGCAATGTGTTCTTCAGTTTATTGTAGTTTTTTCCAATCGGGATCTCCGTTTTCAACCAGGGAGGAAGCCGTAATCTAAAAATAAAAGCTTGATTTAGTTCGCCAAGTTGGAAACTGATCGAAGAGAGAAGCAACCTGGAATTAAGGAGAAACTTCCTGACAGTGAGGACAATTAACCAGTGGAACAGAAGTTGCCTCCAGAAATCGTGGGCGCTCCATCACTGGAGATTTTTAAGAAGAGACTGGACAGTCACCTGTCTGAGACGGTGTAGGTTCTCCTGCTTGAGCAGGGGGCTGGACTAGAAGACCTCCAAGGTCCCTTCTAACTCTATTCTAGTCAGTTGCCAAGTGTCTCTGTTGTGATCACATGACCATGGGGATGCTGCAACAGTCCTAGTCATTTTTTTCCAGTGGTGTTGTAACTTCAAACAGTCACTAAATGTTGTAAAGTTGAGAACGACCTGACATGCCTTTTAGAGAGATTCCATTTTATATTAAGTAAATAAGGCACCAATGAACAGACAGGATATCATTCAAATAAGGAAGATTTTCTTTCATTCTGCTAAAACAGAGGTGGGGAATGACGGCCTCTTTAAGACATGTGGACTTTTTCTTTTTTTAATTTTTTTTAAGATATGAGAAATGTAAAAGTGTCGGGATGGCCTGTCTTGAGGAAAAAGACTGAAATAACTTACGTGTAATGAAAATCTTAACCAGTAAGAACATTTTGAATATTGTGGGGAAAACAAATTTAAATAAGAATTTTAAACAGGGTCTATGACGAGGCAATCAAGATGATCCGTTAGAAAAGAAGCTTTATATCCAAGTGGTTATTATTTGCAGAAATATCAGAAAAACGTCTTTTTTAGTTGTCATTTATCCAAATAATAAGAACTGTATTAATTCAAAAATTCATTTTTGGAAGAAGAGAACATCAAGCAAAGCTATGATGTGGACTATAGAATTATAGAAACTAATTGTTATTGTGTTTTAAATATAAACCCAGACAACACGATGTTTACCGAATATTAAGGTGATTTACAACAAACGAGCGTGAATCCTTCTCCATACCTTTCTCCTTTTTGGCGCTTTAAATTGCCTTTGTATTCCGGCCATTTGGTTTTGTCGGAAAGTTCCCCAGATGTAAAATCTTTCAAATCAGGACCCTCTTGAAATAAAAGTCCCATCTGGGCCTTCCACAACGAATTTGAACTCGACATTCTCAGCTGGCGGTGCCAACAGTTTCCAAACACCTGGGGGGGGGAGGAAAAAACAAATGTCATCGCTTCGCAAAGGTGATACAGCACTTTTAAAAACCGTACCGTAGCTTTGAAGAAAAGGAACTTTAAAAAGCTTCACTCAAATAATTAGAATTGATCACGTTCCTAGTCATACCAAAATACTTTTTTTTTTCCCAGCAGCGGGTCGGTGAAGTACGTGTAGTCCTCAATTTACAACAGTTCGTTCAGCGGCTGTTCAAAATGAAAAAAATGTGACTTGTGGCTGTTTCTCAGTTAACGACCTTTGCAGCATCCTCACAATCAAAAGTCGGAGGCTCGGCAACTGGTTCACACTTATGACAGTTTGCAGCGTCCCCGTGGTCACGTGATCAAAACTTGCACGCTTGGCAACTGACTCACATTTATGACGGTCGCAGTGTCCCCCGGGGGGTCACGTGATTCCCTTTTACGACCTTCTGACGAGGAAAGTCAATGGGGAAGCCAGATTCACTTAACAACCGGGTTACTGACTTTACAACTGCAGTGTTTCACTTAAAAACCACGGCAAGGAAAGTCGTAAAATGGAGCAAAACTCAGTAAGTGTCTCACTTAACAACATAAATTTGGAGCTCAACTGTGGACTACCTGAACCCCAATAGCAAATATGAAGTATTAATGCTGCATTTTTATTTACATGATGATAATAATAATAATAATAATAATAATAATAATAATAATAATAATAATAAAAAGTTGGAAGGGACCTTGGAGGTCATCTAGTCCAACCCCCTGCTCAGGCAGGAAACCCTATACCATTTCGGACAAATGGCTGTCCAGTCTCTTCTTATAAACTTCCAGTGTTGGAGCATTTACAGCTTCTGGAGGCAGGTGGTTCCACTGGTTAATTGTTCTGTCAGGAAGTTTCTCCTTAGTTCTAGGTTGCTTCTCTCCTTGATTAATTTCCATCCGTTGCTTCTTGTCCTGCCTTCAGGTGCCTTGGAAAATAGCTTGACTCCCTCTTCTTTGGGGCAGCCCCTGAGATATTGGAACACTGCTATCATTAGGTATTTCTAATGTTGTAATATATTACTATCTGTATCTATATATTTATTTCTCTACATCTATCTATATCTATATAAATCTCTCTCTCTCTCAATGTATCTATCATATTTATATGTTACTTATATGCAGTGCTTTTTTTGTAAAAAAAAAAAAAAAAGTGCCGGAACTCACACATGTGATACAACCCGCCTTGCCTACCCTACAAGGTTCCATCCAAAAAAGGTGCTGGAACTCCGTTCTGGGCGTTCTATGAGAAAAAAAGCCCTGCCTATATGTAAGAGTGTAGGTCTATACATACGTTGCATACAGCATGTTTTAAATGTGTGTTATGTATGTGTGCACTTTGAGAGCCAGCAACTAAATTTCATTTTTGACGTGTGCCAGCGTGCCCACAGGAAAAAAATGACAATAAAGGTTATCTAATCTAGCAGGCATGCATTTGGTGATAATAAACCAAATAACTGCCATACCAGAAGGACTGCAGCAGGTTCTAAATCTGTAGAACAAATTTCTGCTGGGTATCTGGCCTGTCCAAGCTGCTTTTTCCCCCAAGAGAAATTACAATAATATATTTTGAAGCTATTTTTCTGCTCCACCCGGTACTTCATATTTATAGGATCTCCTTGACGTACCATTTATTTACTGCTAGTATTCCTTTTGTAAGATTTATAAATCACTCTGATTAAAGCTAAGCCTGTTTAGTAACCGTGCGAAGTTACAAGTGCACTGAAAAAAGTGATTTATGACTGGTTTTTTTTCACACTTACGACCGTTGCAGCAGCCTCGTGATTCCCAAAATTTGGACGCTTGGGAAGCGACTCGTATTTATGACTGATGCAGCGTCCTGGGGTCATGTGATCCCCTTTGGCGAAGCAAAGCCAATGGGGAAGCGAGACTCACATTACTCACTTAACAAACACTTTGATTCCCTTAACGACCGTGGCAGGAAAGGTAATAATAATAATAATAATAATAATAATAATAATAATAATAATAAAGTTGGAAGGGACCTTGGAGGTCATCGAGTCCAACCCCCTGCCCAGGAAATGGGGGCAAAGCTCAGTTAACCGCTATCTTGCTTAGCAAGGGACACGTTAGGCTCAGTCGTGGTCATAAAGCGAGGATTACCTGCAGAGGCTGTGTTTACAGAGNCTCCTCCTCCTCCTCCTCCTCCTCCTCCTCCTCCTCACTCCCTTCTAGCACTGATGATGTTACTTAGTCAGGTAATGAAATGTCTGCAAGAAAACCACCAAGCTCAGAGAGCATACCGTATGTAGGTCCTCCTCCTCCTCCTCCTTTCCACAAATTCCATTCCCCTCTGGCACTGATGATGTTACCTAGTCAGGTAATGAAACATCGGCAAAAAACCCACCCAGCTCAGAGAGCATACCGTATGTAGGTTTAAGCTGCGCAATGTGTTCTTCAGTTTATTGTAGTTTTTTCCAATCGGGATCTCCGTTTTCAACCAGGGAGGAAGCCGTAACCTAAAAATAAAAGCTTGATTTAGTTCACCAAGTTGGAAGTTGATCGAGGAGAGAAGCAGCCTGGAATTAAGGAGAAACTTCCTGACAGTGAGGACAATTAACCAGTGGAACAGAAGTTGCCTCCAGAAATCGTGGGCGCTCCATCACTGGAGGTTTTTAAGAAGAAACTGGACAGTCACCTGTCTGAGACGGTGTAGGTTCTCCTGCTTGAGCAGGGGGCTGGACTAGAAGACCTCCAAGGTCCCTTCTAACTCTATTCAGTTGCCAAGTGTCTCTATTGTGATCACATGACCATGGGGATGCTGCAACGGTCCTAGTCATTTTTTTCCAGTGGTGTTGTAACTTCAAACAGTCACTAAATGTTGTAAAGTTGAGAACGACCTGACATGCCTTTTAGAGAGATTCCATTTTATATTAAGTAAATAAGGCACCAATGAACAGACAGGATATCATTCAAAGAAGGAAGATTTTCTTTCATTCTGCTTAAAACAGAGGTGGGGAATGACGGCCTCTTTAAGACATGTGGACTGAAATAAATTACGTGTAATGAAAATCTTAACCAGTAAGAACATTTTGAATATTGTGGGGAAAACAAATTTAAATAAGAATTTTAAACCGGGTCTATGACGAGACAATCAAGATGATCCGTTAGAAAAGAAGCTTTATATCCAAGTGGTTATTATTTGCAGAAATATCAGAAAAAATGTCTTTATTTAATTGTCATTTATCCAAATAATGAGAACTGTATTAATTCACGGACGGCAAAAGAGAACATTTTTGGAAGAAGAGAACATCAAGCAAAGCTATGATGGGGACCATAGAATTATAAAAACTAATTGTTATTGTGTTTTAAATATAAACCCAGACAATGCGATGTTTACCGAATATTAAGGTGATTTACAACAAACGAGCGTGAATCCTTCTCCATACCTTTCTCCTTTTTGGCGCTTTAAATTGCCTTTGTATTCCGCCCATTTGGTTTTGTCGGAAAGTTCCCCAGATGTAAAATCTTTCAAATCAGGACCCTCTTGAAATAAAAGTCCCATCTGGGCCTTCCGCAACGAATTTGAACTCGACATTCTCAGCTGGCGGTGCCAACAGTTTCCAAACACCTAGGGGGGGAGGAAAAAACAAATGTCATCGCTTCGCAAAGGTGATACAGCACTTTTAAAAACCGTACCGTAGCTTTGAAGAAAAGGAACTTTAAAAAGCTTCACTCAAATAATTAGAATTGATCACGTTCCTAGTTATACCAAAATACTTCTTTTTTTTCCCTAGCAGCGTGTCAGTGAAGTACATGTAGTCCTCAATTTACAACAGTTCGTTCAGCGGCTGTTCGAAATGAAAAAAAGGTGACTTGTGGCCATTTCTCAGTTAACGACCTTTGCAGCATCCTCACAATCAAAAGTCGGAGGCTCGGCAACTGGTTCACACTTATGACGACTGCAGCATCCCCGTGGTCACGTGATCAGAACTTGCACGCTTGGCAACTGACTCACATTTATGACGGTTGCAGTGTCCCTTTTACGACCTTCTGACGAGGAAAGTCAATGGGGGAAGCCAGATTCACTTAACAACCGGGTTACTCACTTAACAACCGCCGCAAGGAAAGTCGTAAAACGGAGCAAAACTCACTCAATAAGTGTCTCACTTAGCAACATAAATTTGGAGCTCAACTGTGGACTACCTGAACCCCATTAGCAAATATGAAGTATTAATGCTGCATTCTTTATTTACATAATAATAATAATATATAATATATAATAATAATAATAATAATAATAATAATAATATAATGATGATGATGATGATGATGATGATGATAATGATAAAGTTGGAAGGGACCTTGGAGGTCATCTAGTCCAAACCCCTGCTCAGGCAGGAAACCCTATACCATTTCAGACAAATGGCTGTCCAGTCTCTTCTTAAAAACTTCCAGTGTTGGAGCATTCACAGCTTCTGGAGGCAGGTTGTTCCACTGGTTAATTGTTCTAACTGTCAGGAAGTTTCTCCTTAGTTCTAGGTTGCTTCTCTCCTTGCTTAGTTTCCATCCGTTGCTTCTCGTCCTGCCTTCAGGCGCTTTGGAGAATAGCTTGACTCCCTCTTCTTTGGGGCAACCCCTGAGATATTGGAACACTGCTATCATTAGGTATTTCTTATGTTGTAATATATTATTACTATCTATATCTATATATTTATATCTCTATATCTATATAGGTATATGTATCTATCCCTCTCTCTCTCTCTCTCTCTCAATGTATCTATCAATGTATCTATCAATGTATCTATCAATGTATCTATCTATCTATCTATCTATCATCTATCTATCTATCTATCTATCTATCTATCTATCTATCTATCTATCTATCTATCTATCTATCTATCTCTGTATTATATTGCTTTGTTTTATACTTTTGAGGTCCCATGAGTGGCTATCTGCTTCATATTCCAGAAGTTAGTGCTTGAGCAGGGTCCGCAAGATTGTCTGGGACAATCTTCACAACCTGTTTTCCTTGTTACCTTCTGGGAGGAGGGGGCTCCGTAGTATCCGAAGCAGAACATCCAGATTCAGTCACTGTTACGTTCCATACAGTATTAACCTTGTGAACTCTCAAGCTTCCTCCTTCCGTTATGTATTCAAGATGGACAGTGAATAATATTTATATGTTACTTACATGCAGTGCTTTTTTTGTAAAAAAAAAAAAAAAAGGTGCCAGAACTCACACACGTCATACAACCCGCCTTGCCTACCCTACAAGGTTCCATCCAAAAAAGGTGCCGGAACTCCGTTCTGGGCGTTCTATGACCAAAAAAGCCCTGCTTATGTGTAAGAGTGTAGGTCTATACATACGTTGTATATAGTATGTTTGTGTTATGTATGTGTGCACTTTGAGAGCCAGCAACTAAATTTCATTTTTGACGTGTGCCAGCGTGCCCACAGGAAAAAAATGACGATAAAGGTTATCTAATCTAGCAGGCATGCATTTGGTGATAATAAACCAAATAACTGCCATACCAGAAGGACTGCAGCAGGTTCTAGATCTGTGGAACAAATTTCTGCTGGGTATCTGGCCTGTCCAAGCTGCTTTTTTTCCCAAGAGAAATTATAATAATATATTTTGAAGCTATTTTCTGCTCCATCCAGTATTTACTTCATATTTATAGGATCTCTCTGGCATACCATTTATTTACTACTAGTATTCCTTTTGTAAGATTTATAAATCACTCTGATTAAAGCTAAGCCTGTTTAGTGACCGTGCGAAGTTACAACGGCACTGAAAAAAGTGATTTATGACTGGTTTTTTTCACACTTACGACCCTTGCAGCAGCCTCGTGATTCCCAAAATTTGGACGCTTGGGAAGCGACTCGTATTTATGACTGTTGCAGCGTCCTGGGGTCATGTGATCCTCTTTGGCGAAGCAAAGCCAATGGGGAATCGAGACTCACGTTACTCACTTAACAAACACTTTGATTCCCTTAACGACCGTGGCAGGAAAGGTAATAATAATAATAATAATAATAATAATAATAATAATAATAATAATAATAATAATAAAGTTGGAAGGGACCTTGGAGGTCATCGAGTCCAACCCCCTGCCCAGGAAATGGGGGCAAAGCTCAGTTAACCGCTATCTTGCTTAGCAAGGGACACGTTAGGCTCAGTCGTGGTCATAAAGCGAGGATTACCTGCAGAGGCTGTGTTTACAGAGCCTGCTGAGCCAAAGTTTGTAAACCATGGTTTAAATAAACCAAACCCTCCATGGTTGATAAATCAAATCAAGCCACCAATAAGCCACTGAGCACGCCTACCTACCTACCCAGTTGAGAAGAAGGGTGTACTGGGGTTACAGGTAGTCCTCGTCCTTGCAACGGGTCGTAAGTTTGAAAAAGGGTCCCAAGTCCATTTTTTTCAGTACTGTTGCAACTGCAAACGGTCACTAAACGAACGGTTGTTAAGTCGAGGACTGCCTGTCCTGGACTGGCACCTCCTCCACAATCCCTTCCAACCCTAGTGACCTCCACAGCCTGGATCTCCATGGACCTGACCCATAACATTTAGTTTGCCAATGCATGTTTTGGATTTTTCCTGCCCTGGGATCTCCTGGTGGCGCTCCATCCACCTGAAACCCAGATTAGATCCCGCTGCGTTTTCCAGATCAGCCCAGGTCGCCTCCTCGCTGCCGGCTTTCCACCAAGGGCCACCGGACGGCCCTTCCTACCTCGCAGGGACGTTGTGCGGCCAAGGTTACCGGGGCAGCCGCCGCGAAATGGGGGAAAGGAGGCAAACAGGGCGGCCTCTCACCGGTTTGCCCTCCGCTACCAGCCTCCTCGGGGCGAGGGCAAGGCAGGGGAGTCCGCGACCGAGCAGCGACATGGCGCCTCTCCTTCCAGCCCGGCCGGTGTCCCACCGTCTCCGGGCCGAAGTCCTTCGATGGGCCACCTCGGCGCTCGGCTAAGTTTCCCTTTTCCGCCCGGCGATCGACTGATCGCGCCTGCGCTCAAGTCTTTAACCCCCCCTCCCGAGCTCCGCGTTGTCGTCATCAGGACGCGACGCGCCTTTTAAAAGCGTGATGACGTACGACGCATTTCCTTTCCTCTTTCCTGTCAACGCGAAAGGTGAGCGGCGGACGGTTTGCTTTTTCGCCGCCGGAGCCGGGCAGGGAGAATCCGGCTCCATCCACGAAGTCGGTCCCGCCGGGCGCTTCTAACGGTCCGGGCCAGGCCCGAACGGGATCCGCCTTAGGAACGGGGGTACTTTTTCGGGTTGGGGTCCGCGCGGTTTCGGAGAGGGACCCCCAGAAATAATCCCCCCCCCCCCCCAATTCTGGCACCGGTGGACTGGAGAGGACGCGCGCGCCTGTCTTTCGTCTGCGCCTGCGCGACCTGCTGAATCAGCCTGGGTGACTTAATGGCCATGATTTCGGGAAAGGAGAGTCCGAAGTTGTTGTGTGTTGTGTGTTGTTGCCTGTTTATAACCCTAAGCAAATAATGCCTTCCCTCTAGTGCAGTGTTTCTCAACCTTGACCATTTTAAGGCATGTGGACTTCAACTCCCAGAATTCCACAGCCAGCATTGCTGGCTGTGGAATTCTGGGAGTTGAAGTCCACATGCCTTAAAATGGTCAAGGTTGAGAAACACTGCTCTAGTGTTAATTTAACATAGGCTAAATACTAGGCAAGCATTGGTGTAGCTTAGGGGTGTCCAACCTTGGCAACTTTTAAGACTTGTGGACTTCAATTCCCAGAATTCCCCAGTATAAGTATGTGCATGAATGTGTGCTTGGTCAGGGGGGTTGGACTAGATGACCTACAAGGTCCCTTCCAACTCTTCATTATTTTAATTCTAATTCATTAGAAATCCTTAAGAGCAATGAATGGCAACATTGGAACAATGATATGTTATTTTATTGACCCACAACGTCCAAAAGCTTTTTTTTTTCACTCTCTCCTCTGCCTTTAATCACAGTTGTTTCATCCAATGAAGAAATTATAGTTGTACAAAAAATTAAGGAACATATTGTATCTTCGTTATTAAGGCAGCTTATTATTGACTGAAGTGTGCTTTGTAGGGATGCGTAAAACTCTTATTTTATTAAAATCGTAACGGGTGTGTTTTTTCCTAGCCTTTCCATATTGCCATTTTTCCTTTTAATAACAGGGAGATCTAGGAAAACAGAATGGGTGGGAGCTTCAAATTGTAGATCATCTTTGGAATCGGTGGTCAAGGAAAACGTAGATGTTTCTTTTTAGTTCATTTAAGGATTAGGTAGATTATAAATTAGTATAGTTGTAATATTTTATTTAGAGTTAAAGGGGTGTGTAGATTGTTAGTATTATAATTGTTTTAATTGGATTAATGATTGGAGAAGAATTATGGAAATATGAACTTGATCCTGTATTCAGCTCCGGGAAGCCGAGGAGGGTATGGGGGGGAAAGCTAAAGTTAATGTATTGTGTATATTGGAAGATGTATATTTTACAAAAAATAAAAAATTTTACAAGAAAAAAAAAAAGGAAAACGTAGATGGTCAGATAATTGTATAAAAATGGCACCGAAATAAAAGATATCAAAGACCTACGGTGCAGCAGTGCAACTTGGCTTTGAAATTTGTTTTTGAACAGCAGTTTGCAAATTTCTGTGTTTTAAATGCTGGTGTTTTTTTTTAAAAAAAGGGAATTCTTAACTTTCCATTTTGTCTTTTTTTTTAATTTTACTAGATTAAAAAATGAAGACTATTCTTAGTAACCAAACAGTCGACATCCCTGAGAAAGGTAAGAATGTAACCAGTGACGCTCCTAAAACTCTTTTCTTTAAAAATAAAAATAAAAATAGGCATATGACTTGTTATTTGGATATTTGTGATGTCTAAAGGTTTTATTGAAGCTAGTTTTTTTTTTCCCTTTCTTTCCAGTCGACGTTATCCTGAAGGGGAGGACAGTTACTGTCAAAGGCCCCAGAGGAACTTTGAAAAGGGATTTTAACCATATCAATGTGGAACTCTCCCTTTTGGGGAAAAAACGCAAGAAGGTGAGGCGGTCTTAATAATAATAATAATAAAGTTGGAAGGGACCTTGGAGGTCATCGAGTCCAACCCCCTGCTCAGGCAGGAAACCCTATACCATTTCAGACAAACGGCTGTCCAGTCTCTTAAAATTTCCAGTGTTGGAGCATTTACCACTTCTAGAGGCAGGTTGTTCCATTGGTTAATTGTTCTAACTATCAGGAAGTTTCTCCTTAGTTCTAAGTTGCTTCTCTCCTTGATCAGTTTCTATCCGTTGCTTCTTGTCCTGCCTTCAGGCACCTTGGAGAATAGCTTGACTCCCTCTTCTTTAGGACAGCCCCCTGGAAGACTGCTATCCTGTCCCCCCTCGTCCTTCTCTTTGTTAAACTAGACGCCCCCAATTCCAGCAACCGTTCCTTATGTGTTTTAGCCTCCAGTCCCCTAGTCATCTTTGTTGCTCTTCTCTGGACTCTTTCTAGAGTCTCAGCATCTTTTTTACATCACGGTGACCAAAACTGGATGCAGTATTCCAAGTGTGGCCTTACCAAGGCCTTGTAAAGTGGTATTAATACTTCACGTGATCTTGATTCTATCCCTCTGTTAATGCACGCCAGCTTTGGCTGGCGTGAAACACGTCGGTGTTGTGTCAGGTTTCCAGATTTCCTATCACACCTTACATTAATTCATTAATTTATGAATGGCTAGACTGTGACATTTGGAGATGTCAGCTTGAAAGGTAGCGAGGAAAAATGTCAGGGATTCAACACAACCTGCTGCGCGGTTCAGTTGCAGTGTTTAAAAATCCCTGCGAATCATTGCGCTGCTGTCGTCATTGTGAAGACCCGAGGTAGCTTTCGTTGTGTCTCAAATGCCAGGTATTTTTCATGCTTGCTGTTTATTTTGTTTTGCGTAACACTTCTGTGTTTTTCATGGACTTGTGTTCCTGTCTGAGTGCACTAATATTTGTCCAAGTAGCCCTTGGCTTAATGACCACAATTTCTGTGGCTAAGTGGGGACATTTGTTAAGTGAGTTTTGCTCCATTTTATGGATTTCCTTGCCACCGTTGGTTAAGTGAAGTTAGTAACACAGTTGTAAAAGTGAATCTGTGATCACGTGACCCTGGCACACACCGCAACCGTCGTAAATATGAAACTGTTGCCAAGCATCTGAATTTTGATCACATGATCAGAGGGATGCTGCGACGGGCGTAGGTGTGAAAAATGGTTACAAGCCACCTTCTCCAGTGCCGTTGTAACTTGGAGCAGTCATTAAATGAACTGTTGTAAGTTGAGGACTACCTGTAACATACACCTACTAAGGTTTTTAAAAATAATTGATCTTCATCCTTCATGCTGTTTGTTTGACCCATCCTAGCTCAAATATCGATCAAATTTAGAGTTTCCATATCCATTCAAAGTTTCCTCTGATTGAACGCCGAAACCTGAAGTAGAAACAGCTCCTGACACAACTTAGTGAAACTTTGAGTAGATATGGAAATGGTATACATGAAATTAACCCTCTTAGCTAGGGATCTTCAAACTTGGCCCTTTGATGACCTGTGGACTTCAACTCCCAGAATTCCTCAGCCAGGCACAAGTCATCAAAGGGCCAAGTTTGAAGACCCCTGTCTTAAATCTAACAAACAAAATGGAGGCTGGCTGAGGAATTCTGGGAGTTGAAGTCCACAAGTCATCAAAGGGCCAAGTTTGAAGACCCCTG